TATCAACAATCTGAGATATGCAGATGACACCATAATACTAGTAGAAAAACTCACAGACCTGGAACACATACTAAGGAAGATCCAAGAAGAAAATGCAAAGGCAGGCTTAATGTTGAATATAAAGGAAACAAAAATAACGACCACAGAGAACTTACACAAATTCAAACTAGACAATGAGGAAACAAATACTAAAAGAACTCCCATTCCTGGGATCAAACATTGATAGAAATGGGGATTGCAGTCAGGGAATCAGAAGAAGACTAAGAATTGGGGAAGGCGGATATGAAAGAACTAAGAAAGATCCTAAAATACACAGATATACAAAATGAGCACAAAAGTTAGAATTGTATAAGACATTGTATTCCCTATTGCCATGGATGAATGTGAGAGCTGGACAGTCAAGAAAGAAGATAGGAGGAAAATCAACACATCTGAGAGAATGTGGGGCTGGAGAAGATGCTGAGGATCCCATGGACAGCCAAAAGGACAAACCAAGGGGTCCTAGAGCAGATCAAGCCAGAAATATCCCTAGAAGCCAAGATGACAAGATTTAGACTGCCGTACTTTGGAGACATCATGAGAAGGCATGAATCATTCGAAAAGAGAATAATGTTAGGAAAGGTGGAGGGAAGTAGAGAGAAAGGCTGCATGTTAGATGGATGGACTCTATTAGATGGACCACGAATATGAGTTTTCAGGAGCTGGGCAGAGTGGGAGAGGACAGCAAGGCTTATAGATGTCTGATCCAGAGGGTCACTGCCATGGGTCGATATCTATGCAAAAACAGTTAACAACAACATACAAAGTAAACCTACCATGGAGGTTTTCTTAGCAAGATTTGTTCAGAGGAGGTTTGCCATTGCCTTCCCCTGAGGCTGAGAGTGTGTGAATCGCCCAAGGTCACCCAGTGGGTTTTATGATTGAGCTGGGAATTGAACTCTGGTCTCAAGAGTCGTAGTCCAGTGCTCAAACCACTATGCAACGCTCGCTCTCAGCTCAGCCCTGGGTTCGAATCCCTTTTTTCCGATTGTCCACCAAACAGTGATACCTCAATGGGGCCAACCAAAATGTACACCAGACATGTTGCAAGGTTTCGAAGCTCCGCTGGCTTCTTCATCAGGCAAAAGTGTTAAAAATCATACAGGAGAAAAACTTTTTAAAAATGACTATGGACGTTATCACACGGG